GTAACTGCTTGCCGTTAAAACAAAAAGACACACACGTCTTGGTATAGTAACTGCTTGTCGTCAAACTGACTTCAACCGTTCGACGTCAACTACTCAGCACCTGTCTCTTATACACATCTAGATGTGTATAAGAGACAGGTTCTACTCATCTGGTTGGAATAGGGGTTGTTGTGGGGGAAGCTTATAACACACACACACACACATAGACACACATAGACACACACATACACACAAACACACACATACAGGCATATACACACATACACAAAGAATGTCTGTTAGACCATACAACGGGGGTGAACTCCAACACACAGCGTTTCTGCCAATGGCTTTGCCACTTGCTGCATCTGTGTAGCATGAGATCTGAAATGGCGCTCAAAATGATAGTATGCTGCCGCAGACTCTTTGTGACCTTTAGTGCTGTGTGCTGATATTCAGATAAAGCAGGTAATCGACAGAATCTGGCCCCTCTTCTGGTATTGGGCGCTCACCAATATTTGGCATGCGTGATTCAGTTGTTTTTGATTGAGCTTTCTTGTTGTCCTCATCGTTTTGTCCTGTTCCTCTCTTCTCATTCACAGAGAAGGGCAGTTTTGTCCGACAAATTTGCCCCACAAAGCTGCAGTCAAAGTTGGACATTCGGGCAACTGGGTTCCCAGCATGCCAACTCATTATACACATGTATGTGTATCCAAGTGTGACAAAAGGTCACTATGTAGCATTGTGTACGCATGGCTGTGTCCGTGTGTGTTGTCATGTTCACTATACACAACTCCACAAAAAAAAGCATGACTGTGCCAGACTGCTTCGCCAACTCATCGGCCTGAGGAGATTGTGTCCATGTGTGTGTGTATGCTTGGAGGGCGGAGGGGGGCCATGCCTGTCTCTTATACACATCTAGATGTGTATAAGAGACAGGTCGAGGGGCAAGGTTTTTGGTCATGGCCAGGCGGACGGGTTTCACGGAAGTTGACAGAACAGTCCCTGACAACGCAAAATAGAGCGCAATTTTCGAAAGGTAGGCGGGGAACTGTCGAATTTCCGTTACCTGCAGGCGGGAGGAAACGGTT